TCATTGTCATGGCTGGCTTCTACATCAGCTTCTTCGGTTTCCCAACCATCAACGTGGTTGCTATGGGTGTCTTCTTCTTGCCATTCAGCATAATCATCATGAGAAGGCTCTACATGAAAATCTTCAGATTCCCAGCCGTTGGTATGACTGCCTTCAGAAGCATCCTGCCACTCGGCATAGTCGTCATGGGAAGGCTCGACATGAAGGTCTTCTGATTGCCAGCCATTATCGTGGTCATTGTGTTCTTCAACCCATTCGGCGTCATTGCCATGAGAAGAAGGTTCAACGTAAGCATCCTCTGATTGCCAGCCGTTGGTGTGGCCATCGTTTTCCTCAATCCATTCAGCATCGTTGTCATGAGAAGAGGGTTCAACATAAGGATCTGTTGATTCCCAACTGTTGTTATGTGTGTTATCTTCTTCAACCCATTCAGCATAGTTATCGTGGGATGGAGAGTGGACAATGGGGTCATCGGACTGCCATTCATTTGTGTGTTCATTTCCTTCTTCCTCCCATTCAGCCAAGTTATCGTGGGATGGAGGCTCTTGATAAGGATCAGTGGATGACCAACCGTTGGAAGGAGTGGTATCATTCTCATGTTCGTCATTCACTTCTTTCCACTCGCCGTTGTTGTGATTGGTTCGAAGATCAGTGTTGGTAAAATAAGGATTGGCATCATCAGAGTGCCATTGTTTGTAATTAACATGGTTCTCTTCTTCTTCTTCTTCCTCTTCCCACTCACCATTATTGTGGTTGGTTCGAAGATCAGTATTGGTGAAATAAGGATTAGCATCATTAGAATGCCACTGCTTATAATCAGCAGCATCTTCATGTGTAGACAAGTCGTCATTTGTAAAGTAAGGATCGGCATCATTCTTGTGTGTTACCGCTTCTGTTTCGGTTTCCTTATTTTTGTGAAGGTACTTCTCATGGTCCAGATCTAAGCTATCGATGTACTGCCGAAAGGAAGGATCGCTAGATTCTTGTTCGGTGTTGACAGCATTGTTGTGGATACGGTTACTGTGAATCTGCTCAAGAATGTCGTCAATTGCAGGATCGTTGCTGTGGGGTTTGTCGGCCTTTGTAAGGTCGGAAACTTCGTCCAAGGCCGACGTCCAATTGGTATCATCTTCGTGAGATGGATCACTACTAGAAGCAGTGCTCTTGTGAATTTGTTCAAGGAGATTGTCAAGCTGAGTTTGGTCTATTGAGCTGTTTGCTGAAGTTGAAGAACCAGTGTCACTTGGGGCACTCATGGTGGCAGCTGGAGTGGTTGTGGTAGCTGAAAGATCAATGGTGGTTGTTCCAGTAGAATCGGTTGAAGATGTAGGTGTAGGTTGAGTACCTGCTGAGGAGGCGGATGCATTGGTTGCGGTACTGTTGGTTGAAGGGGTAACTGTTGCATTGGCGGGTAAAGCGTTAATTTTAAAAGTGGCGGAGTCTGCTTCACAGAACTGGCTGTTGTCTCCTTGGCCAGCGATATGAACATGATAATCGCCTATAGAAGAATGATGAGTTATGATAAATACAAGGAAATAAAAAGAGAGCTTTACCGCCTTGTCTTCCTTGCAGTGAAAATAAGACTTCATCCGTAGCACCAAGAGTGGCATCTAGAATTAGGGTGTGTATAGGGATATGTTATTTTAGGAACAAGCTAATTAATTTGCAACTTACCATATGTGCCAATATACGCTGTACTTGAAGGGTTCTGGTTCGAGACGAGAGTCAGATTGACCTGTTTTATCGAATCTGCAGCTTGCCAAGCAACAATATGCTTTGAGTTGTCATCAAATACGACGCCTATAATGATGGTGAATTTAGTGTCAAATATAAATAATCTTTTATTATTTTCAAACCTTCTTTTGCTGGATAAGTAATTCTGAAATCTAAGAATATAATGAGTATCATGATTGATTGTTGTATATTCACACTCTAACCTTGACAGATATCCTCGATAGATGCATCGTTTAAGTGGTTTGCTGAAGGTATATTAAAGAGTGGTGTAGCTAAAGCAAGTTGACATGTTCCAAGGACCAGTGTTACTGCAAATGTAATACTGGCTTTGTTTGATTTCATCCCTGCGATGTGAAGGAAATAAAGAAAATGAAGAAATAAAATAAAAAAAAGAGAGAGAGAAAGTAGAAAATAACTAATTTATTGTCTATTTTTATGGTCGTTACACATAATTTAATTGAATAGTTCAACTATGGAAAATAGATATAATACTTTATAATCAACTTTTATATACTTGTACATATCTTACTTAACATAATGTACATTATGTTTATAGATCATTCGAATGGTTTATATACAAAATATACAAAAGTAGTTAATTTTATTGGTTGACCCGACTTCCGACCATTGACTCGCACCTGGTGGAAAGTCATGTCACACTCGATAAAGAGAATGGAATTGCGAATTCTAAAAATAAATGACTGTTTACTTCATCCTTTTTTACTGGTGCCTGTCCGTCTGGATTCCTTTTTTCTACAGCAGCTCACACCTTGGCAGAGATGCTTTGTCTTTTCTCCCAAAGCCAAATATCGCAAGCTAAGCTGCCGCTACTACTACTATTCGTGTCTTTAGTACCCCTTTCGAACCAAAAAGTTTTATCTTTCATTCAGCGCCGTCTATCTATCAACCAACTACATATCTGGCTACGACGACTACACATAAATATCATTCGTACCTCCACTATATGTTATCCTAACCATCAACTCGTTGTCCTTGTATACGATAAATGTGAACCTAAGCTTATTTCGTAATTGAAGAAAACTAAAATCGCTATTTATGACGAGTATAACTCTCTCGATCCAGCCAATATACATGATCCAAGCTTCGAAGCAATGCGTAACCAGGACAGTGTGGATTATATACCTTGGGTACTTTTGTTGCCCGTCTAATTTACGCTATTCGCTGCAATGGAGGCCCTGTTCAGCGTGCTGTCATCTGTTTTCTCATTGGGAAAAGTTTTTTTGGTGCTCACAGATTTCCTAGATCTTTTCACATGTATAGTGTATGATTATATCTTCTATTTGTTTAGGATTACACTATTTATCGTTATAGTCCAGCGGTTTCTAATATTTAGCCTGTATTGACTTGGCTTAGGGTAGATATTTCTCTGAGAACATCAAACAAAAAAGCCATTGATATCATTTTAAATCCTTACTTATACGTTATCAACTTTTTCAAAGATTACATTTAACTTTAACAAATTTAGTGCATAGTTGTTCCAACGCCAAAGGGCGGTTGATAAAAAAATTCCAGAAGGCAAGGTTTAAAAAACGAAAGGCCAGCTTTTGTTTTCTTAAAAGGCGGCTTTTTTCTTCCCTTTTAATTGTTCAGCGTGAGTATTGTAAACGGATGCTCTAGATCAGAAAGTTGGCTACTCACCAACTGAACGCCTTTGAAACTGAGCCTTACAAATCAGCCTTTATCATGAGTTTGAAGGTTGGAAACTTGGTGTCAGGTTCTGTTTACAGCTTCCAAATGGGCCCAAAATCAAACATTTCTAACTTTTCATCATTTCTTCTCTAAGTGTAACCAGTTATTGTTGCCGCTGAACGAACGTTCCGCTGGGTACCAGTAATAATTGCTTTAAATGCAGCAAATTGAAATCATTTCCTTTTGGCTACAATTGTTTTTCTTTGGACAAACTACAGGATTCTCTAATTTACCCCCTTGATCACGGTCAATTTTTGTCGAGACAGTGTGATTTACTAATGTATCCCATACAATGCATTATGGTTCCCGCGTCAATGCAACATCGCAGCATAGAACCATGTTTTTATTATGTGGGTATGTTAGATGAAGAAACCCTGATACGCATACTGTAATTCGTGACGCATGCGGTCATATTCACATAAATATTCTTAAAGGATTTTGCATATATTGTATCTCTTATGCTTGATGATTGTTTGAATAGAAGATCAATTCAATAAAAAAAAGAGAAACTGGAAAAATTTATTTCCGGACATGCGGAGTATTTTACTTGGAATGAGTAGTAATTTTCTCCACGCATGCGCAAAGAATAGGTGAAGAAAGTGTACATACATTTATTGAAAAAATGGTGGGCAAGTTAAAAGACACTGAAAATATTTCATAGCATCTGGACTGGGTGATCGTATTCTTTGTCTTCCCTTTCGTCAACTGTAGCAAAGTGGATCGGGTGTACATATTGGCTCTAATTGATCTTGTCTTATTTTGTTAATCATGTAACCGTAAATAGCTTTGTTGTGACTGAATAAATTATCATGCATTTTTAAAATGAATACGACTCAATTAAGAAAAGCACTGAATGAATTGCCAGCAACTAGCTTGATTTCAGAAGTACACGAGATTCAAAATTGTATAGCACATTTAATAAAATCAAATCATGAAATGAGAGAATTTGATACAGAACAAAACGACCCTGACTTGACTCAGGCAATAAAAGAAAATCAAGACTTGATTCAAAGAAAACAAGAACAAATCAACTTGACACTTGAAGTCATTAGAGAACGATTGGGTGAAGCAGCATGGCGAGAAGTAGGAAGCGACATTAAAGCATTTAAAGAAAAGTATGCTCAAGAATTGCAGTCGGAAAAAAAAGAAGAAAGAATAGAAGACGACGGCGTGTATTTATAAAATAATAATTAGTTATTTCTATATTATTATAAAGCAATTTTACAAACATATATACATTTTATAAGTTTTTACTTGGCTGCCCAGGCCATGCAGGTTCTTCGGATCCATCAAATTCACCATAAAAACGATTAGATTCTATCACTCGATGTTGTGTGCCTCCAATTGGCGCATTGCATTCAGGACAGCGAGATACTTCGGTTGCTCCACCACAGTCACCAACAAAGTAAGGATGCTTGTTTGGGCAGACAAACCATCTTCCACCCACAATGTTGAACATACCACTCTTGGTTTCTTCATTCATTGCACGAATGATCTGATTTTTCTCTTGTGGTGTCAGCTTTTGTCTTTGGTCTTCGATTTGGCGCTTGACTTCATTTACAAGAGATACTTCATGTTTGATATACTGATTATATCGATGAGCCGTATATATATTTTTCTTGCAATTTGGGCACTCCCAAAGCTTGATAACACTATGCTCACCACTTAGTGTTCTGTGCTTGAAAAAAGTATCCATGGCAGGTGCAGAGAATACTAATGTATGTATTAATGACAATCACATAAATAATCTTTGGTTTCATTTATCTTACCGCAGCCGCATTCAGGCAACATGTATACTTTTTCATCGGGGTCGAATTCAGACAAGTTTCTAAGAGTGATGGAGCACTCTAGATCCGGACGGCACAAACCACAAGGGGGGCAGGGTTCACCACAGAAGCCACGACAGGGATGTCTAAAGAAAAAAAACGTATTAAGATCATTCATAAACACGATTCAATGCTACGCACGAGCAGTCAAGTCTCTTTTTACATGGTTCATCACAAGCAGGTCGATCACATGGCTAACATGCGTATATTAGTCAATTGATAGGCATTTCTCTCTCTTTACCTCATAACACCTCTTTGTACATTTATAATGTTCGCATTGATATGGACAAGGATTTACACACATGATGCATTCAGAAAAGCAAGGTCGACTACATTTGTAGCCGTGTAAGCAGACATAATTGCATTTTTCTAAGCACCTTTGAGTATGATCATTCGAACTGGAGCAGCCTATTGTATTAGATTAGTAATTTATGTGGACAGAATACTGTATATACAAACCCTTAGCACAGCGATGACCGCAGATCAATTCTTTTAAACAAGTACCAGGGCAATACATACGTGCATGTGAGTGGTTACTTCCACACTACATATGCATATTAGTTCACATAGCTTTATATTTCCTTTTTAAAGGTTTTTACCATTTCTTGGCAGCTATGTATTCCACATTCATACAATTTATTACAGACTTCACCACAAACAACTTGATCACTGCATCTCTTTTCAATGCGGTGGCCACAGCTTAATTCTGTCATTTCCTTGACGTTGCAAATGATTTTCGAAGCTCGTGCCGCATTGCAGCATTGAAGAGTTACTTTGTGTTTGCATCGAGGCAAGGCAATCTCGACAGGCTGAAGACACTTGATGGCATACATACGCTGAGTATCCTTGCACTGACCTTTGTATTCATGACCGCAAGGTAGTTCAATGGTTATTTCTTCAAGACAATCAGGACAACCACCCTCTTTGTTACATTCGAAGCAAAGTCTAGAACATTCATGTGTGCAAAGCGTCGGCCGAGGACGTGTACAAGGTGCTCTACAGACAACTTCATTATGGCTTCCATAGTGGCAAATCTCTGGGCAGACATGGCCGTCACTCATCAAGGCGTTACAGGGTCGACTACATCCTCCATTTCTCACAGGCTGAAATTCCGTCCAGTAGCCCACGGACGTACGTTCGCCGTGTTGATAACATACCAAAGGAATGCGTGTGCCATATAGACCAATTTCAGACATATAATCCGCGAATTTCTGCCAGCGAGGATGCACTGTATCTCGTGCTGGTTTGCCTACAATGTAAATTCCGTATTTCGCTTTCGTCAGGGCTTCAGATAAATTATCCTCGAGTGATCTTGAGCGTCCAGGAGTGGCTGTGCTGATTATTGTAAACCAATAGTCTCTACCTGGATGTTGATCCACTCGCTCAACCACGATTCTATCTAGGTTCTTGCTGAACATGGTGCGTTTGGGTACATCTGCCTTTAAGCAGTTACGAATTAGGTGTTTTTGTAGGTTACACATCGTTAACACTGCAACTTTGGCATTTTGGCTGTATGGCTGCTGGATAATGTAGGTGGCAAAGTGTGCGATGAATTGGGCTTCGTCTATATCCGCTTGGGCAATGGGTGTAGAGGAGAAATGGACATGTCTCATCGAAGAAGAACGAGGAGAGTGTGAAGGCTGATAATCAATGTAGAACATACGGTGAGTTAATCCCATCAATGAAGTCTGCTTGCTATCCCTCATGTTCTCGTTGCAGGTTGCCAATGGAGCAGTGATCAATAAAGATGACGCCTTATCTTTGTTGCTATTAAACTTATCGAGAATGTTGGCCACTTCTGAATGCATACGCCATTGCTCTTCAAGTCGAACAACTTCGCTTGCTGAATTTTTCTTCCATCGTTCAAACAGTGATGTGTCCATGTAGCGAGGATGACTCTTGAAGGCATTACAAGACACATAGGGGCGCGAGGATGCTTCTGCATTTCCTAAAAGGACTAAATGCTCTACACGGGGACCAACAATAATGGGCATCAAGGTTGACTCTAGGATCTCTGACGCTTCATCTACAATCACACATCTAGGCCAGAGTTTAGTGAGCCATGACTGATGTGCCGCAGCAAAGTCGGCTGTAATGCCAATCACACGATTGAACCGAGTTACATAAGCCCATCGTTTCGTAGTCAATTGGTCAAGCTCTTCAGCAGCTTGAGATTGTACCTTGATTAAATCATGTAGCTCGCGATCAATGTAATCCAAAATTAAATTAGTTGTCTTGTTGATAACCTTGTCCTTAGTTTTTTCGGAAATAGTCCATATGTCCTTATCCTCAATTTCCTTCCAAATTTGCACCAAATTGTCACGAAGATCACTTCCAAGTGATTTTGAAGTTTCGAAAGGCCAATGTGAGGAAGTAGATACAGGCTCAATCTTGGCGGTATTGCCGGCAATCCATCGACATTTGTTTTGGAAGTGGGTATAATCAATCGTAGGCATGACATAGTTACCTGTGGTGCTCGTGTTCTGTCGAAGTATATCAACTGTTTGGAGTAAAGCCTCAGATTCCGTTGACACGGCTATTTTGTGTTGAATTTGCTCTTTGGGAATGAGCCAGAACTTCCAGATATCTATATCAGTGGCAGTTCGTGTAGCAAACATCTTGCTGTAGCCTTGCTGAAGCCTGGCGCCAAATTTGGGATGCACAAAATTATAAAGTGTCTCTGGGTCATAGCTTTCGACCTTAAGTCTCAGTTTACAAAGGGCATCCAGCTGTGTCTGTATTCCAGAGATCTTGCGGTCTAATTCTTTAAATTGCTTGTAGCCATTATCAGCAAGCTCGGGTAAAGCCATCTGTGTTGCGAACTTGCCATAGTTGATGGTGCTATCCTTGGGTTCATATCCAAAGCGAACTGTGTCACGGATTTTGGGCGCTACAAACCCCAAAATACGATCCAAGGTAGATTGAGACTTGGCTATAATGAGTAAAGGTTGTCTGCAATGGCTTGAAGATAAAGCCTGGCTCATCAATAACGCCAGCTTTGCAGCAAGATAAGTTTTTCCAGCACCAGGTGAGCCAGAGATACATGCAATTCTATGAGTCAGTGCATACTTCAGGGCTTTCATTTGGCTCGGTGATAATTCGTAAACAGGTGGACGTTTTGGAGGCGATGCTGCATTCCACATATACTCTGTTGGGCTCGGCCAGATGTTTTCGTCGGGTTTGGCTTTGTGAGGCATCTGCTTGTTGATCATAATACAGCTAATGTCTAATTCGATACGTTGTAAGTACTCTGGTACTGGGTTGTCATTAGTGTCTGAGCTACTGCGTGCATACTCATTCCAACTACCAAGCTCATCAGCACTTAGGGAGTTCTTAAATGCCAGTAAGCGCGGGGTGATGACTGCAGAATATTTTTGCTTGTGGAACTCTTCAAATTCTTGTTTCAACCATTGAAGTATTGAAAAGGTTGACGGTGCATTGTTTCGGCTAGTTATGACTGTATAGGAACAGGACCAGTCCAGTCTAGGGAGTTCCTTTCTGTAGATTTGGATATTTATAAGGCGGATCAAGTTTCCTTTGACTGGATGACTGAATGCAGACATGATGTGTCCCATCATAGCACCTTTGGCCATATACTCGATTTTTTCCTCCTTTGTCATGTTGGTATAGTTAAGTTCTGGTATAATGAAAACAAAAGAGCCCTCAGTGTTATCGTTGGTGATGTCATCCGTATCTTCACTAGAGTCTATTGAAAATACGATAGAAGGGGCGTATGATGTTTCAAAAGGTATCATGTAGACTGGCCTACAACCGAGGCAGATGGTCGTCTCAGATTGGCTTTGTATATCATCGTCGGCCGATGGTATCGTGAGCATGCTCTTGATAGCATTTTGCATAGGCTCGACAAATTCTTGTCGTCGAAGCATGTATTGTGTAAAAAGGTAATTTTGGAAATCGAGCTTTGGCCATGGACCCTTGACGATATTGGAGAGGGTTGAGTTAGTTGCAAGTTCATAACTGAGAAGCATATTCCCGGCAGCGGCTTCCAATACGATATCCTCGGGGGTAGGTACTGGCAATAGGCCTTCTTCAGCAGTATTCCAGAACGCATACCACGAGTCATCATTGCCTTGTGCAGGACAAATAGATTGAAGTTGCTTAATGGTTTCTATCTTTTGATCGACATTGCAGTAATCTCGAAGTGATTTGAATGTGTTAATAAGATCTTGTAGTGCAATATGTTCGCTTATAGAGCTGTCAAACTTGCTTAGTACACCAACAAATCGAATGACTTGGATTGCATCGTCGGGATAAATGAGCACATGCTTGATAAAGCTGTCGACTGCGCTAAAGACTTGACGCGAATAGCTTTGAATTTTATTAAAGTTTTTATAGTCTCTCTGCTTTTCATCTTCTTCAAGGACAATGGACAAGGCTTCCATGAAGTGGCCAAGTGTACGAGAAGGCATAAACATCATCTTGGGTAACAATTTTTCATACATTTCCAAGAATTTTGGCAACATGTCACTAGTTGGATCGTGCAGGAACTTATACAAAAATAAAGCCAAGTCTTTATCTTTTGTTGAAGAGGGTGCGCCCACTGGTATGTAATTTGGCTGGATTACTGGTACCGGTACAATTGGAGGAGCCATGTTATGTGGCATCATAGGCGAGCTCCATGCTCCATCAGCTGAATAGACAAATTGCTGTGGAGGGAAAGGAACCTGAAAAATGTTATTGTTATTCATAGTTGCAGACACATCATCAACCGCCCAGGAAGGAGTCATTGGATCAGCAGCTTCTGCATAAGACTTTTTTGCCAAATCTTCATTATTATTCCAAGTAGGTTCTGTTTCTTGCTGTTGTCGCATAGACCTTTCATGTGAATCTGTTTCTCTTTTGCTGTTATTATTTTGTTTGAAAAAGTTAACATTGCACCCCTTAAAGATATCTTCTTCTGAAGCCCATTGTGCTTTATTTTTCTTTTTGTTGTCACGTTTCAGTTCTAAATCAATGCCTTCATCCCAGGAGTTCATTGCGGTTGATTTCAGATCTTCGAAGCGTATACTACCCGAAGTAAACTTAACGAACGCGTTATCAACTTTTTTTGGTCCGTCTACATTACTGTTGTTGAGAGATCTATGACATAAAGCATAGGTTAATATACGAATATTAAGAACATAAAGCTGTATACTCTTACTCTTCACTGGATTGGTGGAATGGTTTGCTAAATCTGTGCGTTGATCTCTCAAATTTATTTTTTTGAGTATTTGTCGCTGAATGCCTGTATTGATTCGACGTGCCTTCTCCTGATCTGCCTCTTGATTCATAATTCATTGCTGATCTTTTTTATAATGACGTTTTTTAGTGAAAATGTACAAATTATGAATATGTTGTCACTAAAATAGAAAGGAAGGGTGATATACTAGTTCTTACTACAAAATAACTGATATAAATCATCGACACAAGTCAAATTATTTAACGCTGCACATAACCATATTCCCACAATGTTAAGCCATATAAGGATGTCATTGTTGGCTTATATATATTGATTATACTTGTTCATACCGTAGTTTCATCCAATTCAGTGTTATTGGACTCCGCAGAGCTCAGTAACATAATGGAATGTAGTTCTCGGCCATCATTGTTTTTGCCTTATATGGAAAGAGCGTTCACGTCTCAAGCACAAGCTGTCAATGCCCATTAAACAAGACAAGTCCACAGACAGTCATTGCTTAAGCCATTATAGACAGCAAACATGAATTTGAGTCTTTGTGCATATTTAATATCTGGTTCCTTATCACTGGTGAGGACCATGCTATAGAGAGAAAGAGAGAGAAGACTGTAATCAATACTGACAACGCCAATCCATGCGATAAATTTTTTAATCTTATCAGCAGCTATCCCTGAAATCATTCAACTTAAATATAGTGCTTACTATGACAATTCATCATTTTAACAAATATAAGGCTTATGCTTCAGCTGACAGCACTATCATGATCAAGACATTAAATGATAGGAATCTTCTTAAATTAGAGGTTAAAAGAGCTTAATTTGTCATAAGAAGATTGTGTTTATCATAGCATTAAGAGAAGCGTACTTTCTCTTTACCCTTCCTCTCTTAAATCGCTTTTAGTCCACATATGTGCAAATGGTCCTCATGAACAAGTTGAGCAGAAAGGACAAGCCATGTGAATACACACCTTGCTTTAATAATAATATCATATTTAAAAGCACTTCATTGCTCCCAGTAACTAATAATAAGCGTTAATTCAGACCCAGGATGTTGTTTAATGCCTCTGCTTTTTTTTCTTTTTATTCCAAGACCACTCTTCAAAGCGGACGAAGATGGAAGCATTCAAAGTACAATGGACATGCTATGCTCTAGACATAATAAATTATAAATTACGCAGTAAAGCTAAGACAGCATACACGTCCAAATAAGACTTATATACGATATGGTATTGAGTTACACAATAAGGAACGACGCAATCTTCATGTATTAGAGTCTTTGTATAAATGATGCCAAGAGAATAATAGATATGGACTGGATCAAGATTAAAATACCTCAGATACTGCTCATTCATGCAATCTTCGTTCTGTATGTGATTAGGAACTTATCAGTAACAAGGGTCAAGAACTGTAACTTGTATCAAAAAGAAACCTGAAACCTTTCCCATCTAGTTTCATCTCTCATGCATCGATCCGCTACAAAAATTATTTAAATCGGCCTCAATTCCTTGTTCACAGTCATTATTTTTTTTTTAACTTTTTATTTTGCTATCTTTTCAGAGAATAAAAATGTCTCAAAGCTTTTCTTGTATGCTTTATTTCTAGTTTGATAGTGAGATTATTACAGCACAAAAAAAAACAGTAAGTTTACCTCCTTTCCCAACCCTCGTTCAATCATGGATTCAAATACGTCTGCCTGCCTGATTGCGTCTGCGTCCCTATAAGCAAAATCCGCTGCCTAATTAGGCGTATGCGCATTGTAATCAATAGTGTATTGGATATTCACAGACTAACTCGAAAAAATGTTGTCTAAAAATACGCTGAAAAAGATTATTTTTTTTTTTCTTGATTAAATGTTATATACTCGAAAGTGCATCAAATGAATATATTTTATTAAGTTTAAAGAACAAAAAGTCAAAGTGCGGGAGTAACAAAATGAGGTTTTTAAAGTAAGCAATAGTTTGATTTCCAAAGAGAGAGAAAGCTTTGAATAAGTAGAGATTTTTCTTTTGATAACCAAGTTTAGAGAGCAAATAGAGACTTCTTCTTTTTTTTTTCTTTCCATAAGTCCAGAAGGCCACATTATCGCTAGCTTTCAAACTCAAGATGACTAGAACCATAGACTGCATGCCAGAAGACTACAAGGTGTAAACCCTCCATGAATAAAAAGTGCTCAAGACTCAAGACTCAGGATACAAGACACAAGACCCAAGGCTCAAAACCCAAAAAACAACCACGGTAAATCTCAGGAAAGGGGAGTTTCAATGTACGGAGAGTGCACCTAAGTACCTAGGACAAAGCTTTTCGAAAACACTACGGGCAATGCGCGCAGTAGGGACATTGGAATCTTGAAACCTTGAAATCTTGAAACATTGGAACATTGGAATATTGAAAGCATCAAGCTCAGTAGTAGGGAGGGCTTACGGGCCATTCATCAGCTGTAGAGGCAGAACCATAACAATAGGGACATCCCGGGGTCGATCTAGCGTAGAGAAGCAGCGACCTGTCTGGTTAGTTTTTTGGTTTGTTTTTTTATACTTTTTCTTTTCTTATAGCATAGCTTGATAGAGTTTGGCAGGCAGTGGCAAAATAGATTGATTATGTTTCTTGTGACTTCAAGGCTTGAATATATAGTTACTCCAAAGCGGTATTCATTAGCAGCAGGCATTGATAGGCATGGGCAAAATTCTTCAGGGGCTTTCCGACGTTGATAAATATGGGACAGGGATTCACTAGCATTTTCAGACACTAATGATCATTTGTAGGAATTCATTGATCTTTCCAGAGATTTGGTAAGCATTTGATAAGCATTTGAGTATTTGAGTATTTGATTGTCTGATTATTTGAGTACATTGATAAGTAGTAGCACAGCATTTTTTGAGCATTAGCGAGTAGCAGAAATTTCTTTAAGGCTTCACCCCGTGAGAGGCCATTATGATAGAGCAAGATGCATCAAGAGCCATGTAATAGAGCCAACAAAAGTGTATTTTCTAAACGATGGCATTAGCTATATGTCCTTTGAGGTCACTCCAAAATGATATTGTACTTTTTTCAATATAGGAAATAATAAAAGCATAGGAGAATTTTTAAAAGAGATAAAGAATGAAAAGAAGACAAGAATGGTGGTTTCTTTTATAGTTTTCTGTTTACGTGAGTTATGTTATTTAGGCTGAGAATATATAGCCCATTTCTCCTTTTTCTCAATCTATATTTTTCTAGTAATTCATAAATAAATAGCTCATTCTCTGTCTTTTCCATATTAGAGCAAATCCGAGCAGCTCTTTTTTTTTTTTTTTCTTAGTTTAGAATATGGAATATTCTCTTGTATCCTTTTTTTGTTTTGTTTACTTTGCATAATTTTCACGCCTCTCTTTTTTTTTGTGCCGCTTGTTTACATAAGACTAACCTCACGCACTTACACACATATATATATATATATATATAATTTTTTTATTATGGTTGCATCACTTTTCTTATTTTCAATGCATGCTTTTTATTTTTCTGGTCGTTTTCTTTAAGAATGAGTAAAAAAGGGGAAAAAAAAGTAAGACGAGAATTAAATGTACAAGGAAAAAGGTTGAGAGGGGACGGCATTTTTAAAAAAGCAGCTGATAGTAAACAAAAAAAATAAGGGTTGAGGTTGAGACACACACATAACGAAAGGACGATGCTTTTCTCAAAGAGCACTAGACTGTCGATTCTGTGGAACACACGTAGTTGATTCCATTACAGTTGTTATTTGTCAATCAAAGAAAGTTAATCATGATTGATCTATTTGGTTAACCACTCTGGCTTGTCTCATAAACGAAATGATGAATTTTTTTTTTTGCCAAAAAGAACCAAAACCAAATCACCCCAACCTTCACGTATCAAAACCTGTTTATCAAGCATGAAACATAGGTGATTGAGTTGCTGGCTTAGGAAAACATAAGAGTCTGTAATGTTTTTATTTTTATTTTTAGTGCACATGAAAAAAGGTAAAAGGTAAAATGTTTATCCCCTATTCCTAGTTGCTATATCTTTATTCTTTTCCCTTCTGCTTATGAAATGTAGACCAACATTAGTGACGACTGTGATTGTGATAGATTTGATGCCTATACGTTCATTTTTACAGTAAAGCAATGGATCTTCTAAGTCTGCATAAACTATTTCAAATGGCGCTCGAAACAGGATGGGTTGCTAAGGTACACGGCATACTTCAATTAATGACTTTATTGTCATGGATACTCGCATATCATGAATGAGAGGCATTATCAAATATGTGATTAATTGGACGACGAGAAAGGGTTTTTATAATCATGAAAAAGAATATAAATACATAAATGCATGAAATGGATAAAAATAAGTCTTATATGGAGGTAAAATAGTAGAAGAATAACTCAATGAGCCTTAGAGGGAGCAGCGTGATGACAGAGCAGTTTATCATTGTAGTAACAAATGTTGTCATTTAGTTGATCAAGTGTAGCCTTTACTTTGTCGATCTTATAAGTAATATTGCATGCACTTGATATTCGTTTTATTCATGATTAAGTTTAATATTGATCCCTTTCAGTAAAGGAAATATGGCTTGATTTGTCTTTTAATCAACAAAATAAGTAATCGGAATTGATTGAATTCAGTTGGGGATCATCCTATGGGCTCCCATGGTCAGTTATACTAGAAGTCGATTCATTCCCTGGCGTCTTGGCTGGCTCTCTGAAGGTAAACCTTAGCCCTACGCATGTAGCGATCATACACGACTGCTTGAGTCTTCCATTTTCTATAGATGACCCAAAATACCCAGCTGTTGCTGCCAGATGAAATAATGGCACATAGCCACTTCATTCGTATTGCAAAATCTTGAATACTTAAACTACCCATTGCACATCGAACTATCTCTTCAAGACACTGTTCGATGCCCTTTCATCCTCTAGTTCTAGCCACAGCAGCAACTTATATAGGCCAGGCGTATCCTATGACTACTGGTCTAGCTATGCTCAAGTGCCTTTTTTTTTTCTTAGCTTCTCGTGACTCTTTAAGGTAATTTTTAGTCTGCGGACTCCGCGCCCATAGGCTTTTAAATTAATCTTTTTTTTTTT